TCTCCTCTCTCTCCTCCCCCCCCCCCCCTCTCTCTCTCTCTCTCTCTCTCCTCTCTCCTCTCTCTCTCTCTCTCCTCTCTCCTCTCTCTCTCTCTCTCCCTCCCTCTCTCCTCTATCTCCTCTTCCACTGCCTGGCATTCAATTTCCTTCGTCTTCTCGCTTTCTCTGTCCCTTCTTTCAATTGCCTATTCCCTCTCTCTCATTCTATTTCTAATCATTCTCATTCTCGCTCAATCCTCCTATCTTCTTCCCTTCATTCCCCCTCATCTCTCCCAATACCTTCCCTCTCCCTCTACATCCACCCCCCTTCCCTTATCCAGCATCTATACCATAGTTTATCTCTTCTATTTCACATTCTATTTTTTTCCCTCTCCAAATTTCTTATCTGTTATTCTCTCCTCTTTCCTCTCTGTTTCTTTCCCTACCGCTTTCCCCTTCCCTTCCGTTCCTCGTTCTCCCCCCCCCCCCTTGCCTCGCCGCCCCCCCCTCACATCAGGGGAGGGGGGAGGGGGGTTGAGAGAGTAACTACATGTCCCTAAGCGCCCCCCTTCACAACTCCTCCCCCTCTCTCACCCTGTCTTGTTTCATTGTCTCTCCTTCACGGTTGGCTCTCCCCCCTACACCTCTCCCTTCTACACTCCCTCCCTCTCTCTCTCCCTCCCTTCTACACTCCCTCCCTCCCTCTCTCTCCCTCCCTCTCTCTCCCTCCCTCCCTCTCTCTCTCTCCCTTCTACACTCCCTCCCTCCCTCTCTCTCCCTCCCTCCATCTCTCTCTCCTCCATTTATACTCCCTACCGCCTATCTCTACCTCCCTCCCTTCTACACACTCCCTCATCTCCCTAACACACTCTTCCTCTCTTCCTGGGTCTTTTACTCTCCATGTTCACTATTTCTTCTGTCTCTGTCCCTCTCTCTCTCCCTCTCTGTCTCTCCGTCTCTCTCTCTCTCTCTCTCTCTCTCTCTCTCTCTCTCTCTCTCTCTCTCTCTCTCTCTCTCTCTCTCTCCTGATGTTCCTCCTTAGCATGTGCTCAATCTCATTTAGCCCTTCTTCAATATGGTTTGAAGAATAATAATTGCCTCATTGTCTATCCTCTTCTTCCAATCCTTTCTCCTCCTTTATTCCTTCTCCCTACCTCTCTTTTTTGTTCTTCCTCCTCCCGAGTCTCTTCCTTCTCCTCTACTTCTTAGTCCCTATGTATATATTCCTTTATTTCTAACTATGAATATATTCCTTTACGAATGTATAACATATATTATTAAATATGACCGAAAAAGTAAGATTGATAATTCTAACACGAATTTTCTCGATCTTTCTTATGTTTCTTTTCACTGTTGATGGTAAATGAAAAATCAATTCTCCAAAATTCATTTTTATTTATGAATGTGTAATAATGAAGGTTACGTTGTGAGAGGAAAGGGAGGACCGTCTCTTCCACCAGGAGGCCCTGTAGCCCTCTCTTCCTCACCCTCCCACACTCCGGGGCCGGCCGGCCGAGCGGACAGCACGCTGGATACGTGATCGTGTAGTCCCGGGTTAGATTCCGGGCGCCGGAGAGAAACAATAGGCAGAGTTTCTTTCACCCTATGCCCGGGCCTGTTACCTAGCAGTAAATAGGTGCCTGGGATTTAGTCAGCTGTCATGGGCTGCTTCCTGGTGTGTGTGTGTGTGTGTGTGTGTGTGTGTGTGTGTGTGTGTGTGTGTGTGTGTGTGTGTGTGTGTGTGTGTGGAAAAATAGTAGTAGTAGTAGTTAGAAACGGTTGATTGACAGTTGAGAGGCGGGCCGAAAGAGCAGAGCTCAATCCCCGCAAGCTCAACTAGGTGAATACACTACCATTCCATCTATCCGTTCCCAGCACCCCTCTCCCAGGCCCCCACCTCACTGCTCCCCCCCCCACAACCCCCCCCCAACTACCCCCCCAATCCTGCACAGTGACAGAACAAGCCGGGGCAGCCTCTGTTCTCCTCTCGTAATTGGACATGTAACTTACAAGGAGAAATTTCCCGTGCCGCTGCTATATGAAGGGAAGAGAGAGAGAGAGAGAGAGAGAGAGAGAGAGAGAGAGAGAGAGAGAGAGAGAGAGAGAGAGAGAGAGAGAGAGAGAGGAGAGAGAGAGAGAGAGAGAGAGGAGAGAGAGAGAGAGAGAATGGATAGAGAGCCAGCCAATACATCTCAAGCAGTTCCACTTAGCCCAACACCGTGGACGACAAGAAGACGGCTACTACAACACAAGACGCTCAGCCGGCACCACTAAGGAACCACCAGACACGCCTCACCCTCACCTTCCCCTCAGTGTAACATCAATCTCTTCCAACCTGAAACATTCTCACCAAAAAACTCTCACAAATTACACCGTCTTGCAAGCCAAGTCCACATAAGTAGATGATGATAGATAACACCTTTAAGACTGATGAATGGATCCCAACCTGCCATCCATAAATGTCCCTCCATCCACAGTATCTATAGATAATAAATAATTAATGTTGCACACAAAAGGTCCACCTTGATGCTGCCTTGAAAAGGCGCCAAGAAGGGTAATATGACTTGGGTAATATCGGGTCGACATCTTGGAAGGTTGAGTGCTATTCCCTGAGATATTACAGGTGAGAGGCCTACCTGGAGTTAATGAGAAGTGGGGGGGGGGTTTACCTAGGCCTAATATCACCCCCCCCCCTCACCTTTCCTCTTTAACATGGCATTTGTTGCACCTTTTTATTGTTTAGAGACAACATACACTATATATTGGATGGGTCGGTACAGAGACGCCCTTGCTTCTTGCAGGCCGGAGTTCAATTCCTGATGGTCCATGTGTTTGGATAGCGTATCTCCCTTTCTTTCTCCTCTTCTTCCTCACCATACTTCTCCTCTTTATCCACCTTCTCCTTCTCCTCCTCTACGTCAGGTTAACATGGGGCAGATCTTTGTTTTCGCGAATTTGACTCTAAAATTTACGTTGTTTTAAATCATAAATTATGATTCACAGCACCGTGTTCAAAGATGTGTTCACCAGAGCCCGTGTGTTCACTTAGATATGGCCACAGTGGTGGAACAGAGCCCGTGTGTTCACTTAGATATGGCCACACTGGCGGAACACAAGGAGAAAAGTTATTTCTTCCAGGCGGGTACAGCAGGACAAGACGACTGTTGTTGTTGTTATAGATTCAGCTACTCGGAACAAGTTCCAAGTAGCACGGGCTATGGTGACCCCGTAGTGGACTTACCTGGCACAGGAGCGGTGCTGAATGAGTGTCCAAGACGACCGACTCCTGTTAGCAGATTAAGAATTTTTCCTTCGTCACAATTCACCTCATTCAGCCTCAGTCTACTAGTTCTCCCTCGAACCCGATCCAGCAATCGGTTTACAACCAGGTGCCCAATTACTGCTGGGTGAACACGGGCGTCCAGTTAAGGATCAGTGTCCAATCGTTTCAGCCCCAGGTTACAGCTGATTATACACACATCCCCCCCCCCTCCTCCTCCTCCATCAGTCCTAACACCACGCAAGTTGGAAGAGCTACACAAATTCAAAATCAAAATCTTCATTGTTTTGTGAACAATTATTATTGATTTGGTTTACACAATTTTTTTGGTTTACACAATAATATTGTTTACAGAGTATTATTTATCTAAGCGCCATGGCAAGACCGTAACACGTAAGCGTTATAATTATATAGAGATTTAAACAGATTTAGAAACACTATTTATCAGCCATATATATATAAATCCTGACAGTTGCTGCTGGAGTGAAATGGAGTTTTGAATTCAGGCAAAGAATTAAACATTCCTCCAATACAAGTGGCTGGTAATCCATCCACACTGCAAAACACGGATAACAAGGTGGATTGATGAAGATTGATGAAGATTAAGCCACCCAAAAGGTGGCACGGGCATGAATAGCCCGTAAGTAGTGGTGGCCCCTTTTGAGCCATTACCAGTATCAAGAGCTGATACTGGAGATCTGTATAACACATGGTGTTAGCCATATGTATATAGCCAAATATATATAGTTAGCCATATATATATATATAAATGAGTTTAGGTTGATATAAATAGTAGCTGCCTCGTATTAGGGCCACTTGTTCTTCTGCAGTTTAATTTATTATTATATTGTCATGTTTCTGATATTCGTTATCATAGTCTCATGTTGTTACAATGTTGTGATGGTGTGTGTGGGTGTTGCAGCCCACGGCGCCACCTGGGAGGTGAGCGCCATTAGCGTGGGCGACGCTGGCGCTGACTGGACCAGCCTGGCGGGACTCTACGGCCGTCTTACTGTCAGGGATTCCAACCTGCTCATCAAGGACACGCATAATGGTGAGTGACCATCGTTCTCTTGACCAGCAGTCACAGTAACGTGGCTGAAATATGTTGACCAGAGCACACACTAGAAGGTGAAGGGACGACGACGAGGTTTCGGTCCGTCCTGGACCATTCTCAAGTCGATTGTGACTTGAGAATGGTCCATGGACGACGAGACGAGAATGGACGACGAGGATTCGGTCCGTCCTGGACCATTCTCAAGTCACAATCGACTTGAGAATGGTTTAGGACGGACCGAAACGTCGTCGTCGTCCCTTCACTTTCTAGTGTGTGGTCTGGTAAACCATTGATGTCTTGACGTATACCACTGGTGTATCCGCAGGGGGTTACAGAGATCGTGGGACGAGTAAGGTAAGGCAATTGTGAGGGAGAGAGCGGTATACCATCTGTCTATAGCACCTGGAAGGGATATGAGGACTAGGATCTGAGGTACAAGGACGGACGGAGGGAAGGAACAGTGCCCAAGCACTTGGACCATCGGGGGATCGAACACAGACCCTGTACCATGTAAAGTCATTACTGCACCGACCAGTCCACGTGGAGCACTTGGCAAAAGAAGGTGTTATTAAGCCCCTGGGGCCAGATTCACGAAGCAGTTACGCAAGCACTTACGAACCTGTCCATCTTTCCTCAATCTTTGGCGGCTTTGTTTACAATTATTAAACAGTCAATGAGCTCCGAAGCACCAGGAGGCTGTTTACAACAATAAAAACAGTTGATTGGCAAGTTTTCATGCTTGTAAACTGTTTAATAAATGTAACCAAAGCCGTCAAAGATTGAGGAAAGATGTACAGGATCGTAAGTGCTTGCGTAACTGCTTCGTGAATCTGGGCCCTGGAGTCTAAAGCAACATCCGGGTCACCAATCCGTGTTATAGGTGTTATATAGGACGCCTGACAGCTGGGTGGACAGCGCTTCGGATTCGTAGTCCTGAGGTTCCGGGTTCGATCCCTGGTGGAGGGGGAGACAAAATGTTTTTTCACCCTGATGCCCCTGTTACCTAGCAATAAATAGATACCTGGGAGTTAAGACAGCTGTTACGGGCTGCTTCCTGAGGGTGTAACAAAAAGGAGACTTGATCGAGGACCGGGCCGCGGGGACGCTAAGCCCCGAAATTATCTCAAGATAACCTCTCAAGATAGGTTATTGGACTGTAAGATACACATGTGCTCTGTTTTACCATCTCAACAGTGTTTGTTCATAGGCCAATACACTTCAGTCTTACCTAAATATGTTTCCTTATAGGTTTGGATTCTTATCCGGACTAGACTTGTCTAACCTAAGGCAAGACCATACCTTACCTTAGGTACTAGTCAATATTGCATCTTGCCTCATACCTACGGCATGGTATCAATCTTAGGGAAATATACAAGATGGACATGAGAAAAACCTTTGGAGCCAGGCCGGTGGAATCCACCCCGCGTGGAATACAAGGTTTTGTGATTATATTGTGAGCAAACATGTTTGAAACGAGTCATAGCTAAACGAAACGACCTGGTTGGTAACTGGAGGCGCAGTTTCGTGATGTCTTAAGAGAAGGAAGAAGAGTTGAAGGTAGTTTGTTCAATACGATACTTCGTATTGAACTTTGAGCCCTTATTTCGTACACAAGAGGGTTCGCCAACAGATGTTATAACACGCTTAACCTTACCCAACGTAACGCACACCTAAACGGCTCTGACAATCAGAAAACGAGCTTTATCGAACCTTCTTGTGTAGGATTTGACCTCACCCTGCCCAGTACCCCGCCTCACACTAGATGATGACATGAAACCGAAGGCTACATATCACTGTATCAGACAGCCGGTAAGGTGGAGCCCAGCAGCTACCGCCTGACTCCACAAGGAGATTTAGAGGAGTACCTGAGCACCAGCAAGCACCCCAGGCAACACACACAATGCCCTCCACCAACCCGTGACCTATATACGCCGCCCAAGTGAGGGTAGGCAACGAAGGATCCCCTTAACAACAGACCAGAGGACGACACCACTACCCCTCTCCTCCTCTCCCGTCTTGGTACACACATTAAGACATCAACTGACTGCGACACGCCAAGGCCAAGACAAAGAGGAGGAGGCAGGAGGCCCTCTGTAACTGTAGACAACACAACCACACGTCTCCTGTGTGGTCCTTACCTCATTGACACAAGGTAAGCAAAACTCAGCATTAATTACCCAGACACACGTTTGGTCGCGGAGCCATATAGAGTCTGAGGGTAGAGCCACACAGGTACACTACCTCTCGCTGTCACTCTATGTGTAGCCATATAGAGTCTGAGGGTAGAGTCTGAGGGTAGAGCCACACAGGTACACTACTACCTCTCGCTGTCACTCTATGTGGAGCCATATAGAGTCTGAGGGTAGAGCCACACAGGTACACTACCTCTCGCTGTCACTCTGTGTGTGGGGTCATGCTTCACTACCTCCCTCTAACGCTATAAAAGGTGGAAGGAGAAGGAGAAGACAGTGAAAACAAAAGCAAGTCGTTCAAGCACCAGCCGCCAGGAGCCGGCCAAGATAACCCAACAACCCGGACTCCTACTCACGTTGTGTCCGGATCAGCAAGGTCAATTTACGCACTTAGGGTACGTGAGTAAAGTCCGCACGCACGCACACACGCACGCACACACGCACACACACACACACACACACACACACACACACACACACACACACATGGGTAGTGTGTTATACTCACCATCTTGAGTATATATTGATACTCAATAACAAAACTCTTGATACTCATCAATAACAAAACTCTTGATACTCATCAATAACAAAAACTCTTGATACTCATCAATAACAAAACTCTTGATACTCATCAATAACAAAAACTCTTGATACTCATCAATAACAAAAACTCTTGATACTCATCAATAACAAAACTCTTGATACTCATCAATAACAAAAACTCTTGATACTCATCAATAACAAAAACTCTTGATACTCATCAATAACAAAAACTCTTGATACTCATCAATAACAAAACTCTTGATACTCATCAATAACAAAACTCTTGATACTCATCAATAACAAAAACTCTTGATACTCATCAATAACAAAACTCTTGATACTCATCAGTAACAAAAACTCTTGATACTCATCAATAACAAAACTCTTGATACTCATCAATAACAAAAACTCTTGATACTCATCAATAACAAAAACTCTTGATACTCATCAATAACAAAAACTCTTGATACTCATCAATAACAAAACTCTTGATACTCATCAATAACAAAACTCTTGATACTCATCAATAACAAAAACTCTTGATACTCATCAATAACAAAACTCTTGATACTCATCAATAACAAAAACTCTTGATACTCATCAGTAACAATACTGTTGAACCTCCAGGTGGAAAGGGGACGAGTATCAACACCCAACACAGTTGATACTCATCAGAAACACTATTCATCAAACACAGTAGTACAAACCCATTGTAACATCTGAAGGGAATAGGGGAGGAGGAGGAGGAGTGGTACTGATAAAACCCCGCTATCACAGTGCCACTTTGGAAAATACACACAAATTCGACCCCCCTTTCTGACCCTCGTTCAATCTGCGAGAGAGACATCGATACATGGAAAGAAGATATGAGTGGTGACCTTTCGGGTCTATATTGTGTCCGTCTCCTGTAAACACTAAGACACTGGAGAAGCGAAGCTCCATTCACGGCTGAGAGAGAGAGAGAGAGAGAGAGAGAGAGAGAGAGAGAGAGAGAGAGAGAGAGAGAGAGAGAGAGAGAGAGAGAGAGAGAGAGAGAGAGAGAGAGAGAGAGAGAGAGAGAGAGAGAGAGAGAGAGAGAGAGAGAGAGAGAGAGAGAGAGAGAGAGAGAGAGAGAGAGAGAGAGAGACAGAGAGAGAGAGAGAGAAAGAGAGAGAGAGAGGGAACATCACTGCCATACGCGCTGCGGTGAAAGACACTAAGACAAGTTGATGCAGCATTGAAAGAGACTCAAGAGATTTCTATATAAACTAGACAGAGAGCTGGAAGATGGCTACTCGAAATAAACACCAGTAAATGCAAAGGCACGAGAGTGGCGAAAGAGACCTAGGAGACACCAAGAGCCAATTCCGAAGGAGAAGTAACTCTTACAACACAGAAAATGTAATACAAACATACTGAAGAAGAACTTTTAAATAAATCTGCAGATGCGGTGGTGGAGCAGACGTGAAGCAGAGCTGCCCAGGTCACGTGAGGAACACGTGTGTGTCGGGACAGGCAGACAGGCAGCAGCAGCAGCTGGTGGTGGTGGTGGTGGGCGGCTTCTCTCTGTATCAAGACGGCCTCTATATACAACACCCAAGACATATACCCAGTAATATGACGCTTAATATAACTACGCTTTAATCCAAGCTTGTGTGTGCAGCATTTATATATTCTTTAGCTGACAGTTAAGGGGGGGGGTGCTGTCAGGGGGTGCTGTCAGGAGAGGGAAGGGGTGGTGTCAGGATAGGGAAGGGGTGGTGTCAGCAGAGGGAAGGGGTGGTGTCAGCAGAGGGAAGGGGTGGTGTCAGCAGAGGGAAGGGGTGGTGTCAGCTGAGGGAAGGGTGGTGTCAGCAGAGACAGCAAGCACGAGGTGTGGCAGCGGCTTCCACAATGGGAAAGTGACTCAACAGAAAACGATTGAAATTCCAAAAGATGACAAGAATGCCGAGCATGCAATTACGTCTCCCCTTCCCTTCCCTTCCATCTTTTCCTCCAGACTCTATCTCTTCTTTTCCATCCCTTTTTCGTCCCTTTCCTCACCCCCCCCCCCCACCACCACCACCATCTCTCTTCACCAGCAACATGAGGGAAAAAAGATAGGCAAACGTCTGAGGTCAGCACGCGGGAAATTTGAAATCAGAACGCGGGAAATTTGAAGTCGGGACGGCGGGAAATTTGAAGATCTGACGCGGGAAATTTGAAGTTTGGACGCGCGTAACTTGAAGTCTTTGAACATGTTCAAGACTTTAAATATTCAAGACTATTGTTTAGCCTTTTACG